ATCATTGTGGGAAAATTCTACTACCAGTCCATCATCACCTTAGACGAAATAGGGTGAATACATCTCATTAAACTTTTAAACCCTAAATCATTTTAAGCCATTTATAATGACTAAGTTCTTATTAAACAATTACTGATATTTTTGACATATTCTTATACTTTAAATTGCTTTCTTATCCCTTTTACTTATCGAATGAACAGATATCTACTCAAATAACTATTGTCGCCGACGTGGTCAGCTGTCCATTTGGTTGCAGATAAGCGCCATTAAGGTCAGCCCCGATCATTTTCGGCGCATACTTCACATAAATCCCTTCGACACTCCATCTCATTTTCAATCTGGCCTCTGCCGTAAGCCTGTGCAATCTGCCTCCAGTAGCAACGTCTCAAGGGTAAGCACACCGATTTCCAGGTCATACGAGCTTCTGAACCACACAAGCTCTAATCTCAACGAAGCTCATTGCCAAGCACCGTTCGAAACGAAAGATTATGCTCCTATTGAGCCATTATTTTCACAGGAAATTACAAGCTTGGAAGGCGCACCAGACCTTGCAATATTCAATGGCCCACTGCTTTACGAGTTCGTGATGCCTACTCCAGTGGGACTTATTCCTCCTTTGTCTTCACCCTCTCATCCATCTTCAAATGGGACTTGCACCCAACTTCCCTCCTTTGTGAAGAACCTAATTTCACCTGATACTGCAGAAATTAAACAGAACACTTATGTGCCCTGGAATCCTCCTGACTCTACATGCTTTTCTATAAAGTCACCTGCATTTCCCACTTCTCATCTGGTGACTTCCAATTCTTATCTACGACAATTTTATCACAGGACCCAGAACAAATATGTTTCTTCGCCGCCACTGCCGTCACATTTCGCTACTCTCTCAGCCCCGTTAACTGCCACTGCCATGTTCGAAAGAGTTCCAAATAACCTTACTACCGCCACCGTCAAACAAGAATGCAAGCGGGTGATGCCAAATGTAGTTTGTGTTGGTGACCAATCAACTATTTTGCCTGGACCATCTGGAGCAGGACAAGTGGCAGAAAGACAAGAGATAAGGGCTGATGAATCAAACAGGCTATCAATGGTACATATGCGTCCTACATTGAATGTTTTGGATGGACGTGAAGGCTCTGGAGGCTCTGAGTTTAACGCTTCTAAAAACGGCTACGACTACCCAGACATCCTTAACGAACTACCCTTACGGTCAGACAAACTTTTCGACGGACATATCATCAGTGAAAATCAAGAGTTTAACAGGTATTGCTGTAGAAGCTGACACCATATACTCCACAGTTGATGTCATTGCCGGTTTGTCGGTTCCTGAGCACAATCCTTTGCTAGTTGCCTTTATATAATGAGAACCTTTAGTTCTTGTTGATTTACTAAATAAATGAGAACTTTCATGTAGCTCTTTAATTAATATAGCAATTGAATGGCTTTAGTTAGTCGTTCATATAAGCAAATATATGAGAAAATTAAACTTCAAATCTCCATGCTCACTTACCAAAGCAATAAAAATCCTAAGGTTTGTAGTATAACGTGGGTTCATACTACTTTATAACATTGCATCTCTCGCATTTATTGATTCTTTGGACAACATATGATAAAATTCCCACTCCAGGCAACCACCACTCATTGCTTCCTGACAATGTCTGGGTCTTGTTCGACTGTATGAAACCAAAAAGGAGAATTGGCAACTCATTTTCCATCTTTCCACTTCCCAATTTCAAATCACCTTAAGGAATAATCGAGCCATCCCTTAGCCTCTCTAGAGTTCTTGTGCTTAAGGTTTTTTAAAGCCCAAGTCTGCTTGACATTGTTTTAAATTTTCCATTCCTATAATTTCTACAGAGTTCTCCAAAATACTAGACGAATCCCGTCCACCTATTTACGAAAGGAAAGGTACAACAAAAGCCTTCACAATTGCCTGCTTCAAAAATTTCATTATCACTTTTTGCTGGGTGCGAAATCCACAGATTGTTGTTGGGCCAATC